TATAATGAATAGGTTACTGGCCTTAGTAATCCCATTATTAAATTATAAAAACATGTTTTATTAAAGTTATGTCAGGTCTGAGGTCAGTTCTGATTTTTAACAGTGCAGAATCTTAAATATTTATTTTCAAAATGTGTTGCTTTTAAAATCTTTAAAAAAAAGTTATTTTCAGGTTTTAAATTAGAATATTGAATTTTCAATGCAATTTCAGATCCCAATGTATATTAACATATCTTCATAATTATTAATATCTTGAATCTCGTTTTCTCAAAATACCAAATATTTTAATTTCTAATTTATTCAAGATAAAAAAAATATTTTGCCATTCATTCTAGTTGTATGTGTGGGAAAAAAAGGTGAGAAAACAGTTCCTGATAAGGAATATTGTGTCACTGGTGCCACAACGGTCCAAATACAATATTCTCAACACTAAGGCATAGTGTTGAAGCTCTGTCCTTCCAATGAAGAAGAACAAGTGAGCGAGAGAGAGAGTGGATGGAAGTGAGCTCAACAGGGACTTACACCAGTGAGGTAGAGTTTAACATCTTGGCTGATAGTGGGTCAATTACCTGTGTGTAATTGCAATAATTCCAATAACGCTGCAGTCATGCTTGACAGTTTCCAGATCAGGTCCAGTAATTGCAGGGTGGTGTGTATAACTGGAATCAAAGGAGAGGCTCTGGAACTCGGCTCTGCCATTCGCAGCCAAACCCACAATGCTTAATGCAATAAATCCTGAGCTTATTAGCACAGCTCTAAATGGCAAATTGGTGTGAATACCAAATTATTCAGGTTATGATTGAGGGGGGAAAAAAGTTGAGGAGGGGAGATTTCACAGAAAAAATGACAGGTATTCCAGCAAAGGCCCAGCAATTGACTTCACGTCATGCCGTAACATCTGTGCTTACACGCATTATTCAACAGGAAACAATCCGGAGGTAAACAAGCACCTCTCTGATCATTTGTAAAATCCCTTAAGATTCATTACATAACTATATTGTCTCATAATCGCGCATTACATTCGTCTGTGATCGCTCGCCGTGGAAAACTACCAAACCCGCACACATGTGGAAACGGAGCCCTGTTGATATTCACATGACCAGACACTCGGCAACTCAAAGCAACAAGAGGCTAATAGGACCACAGCCCGTTTACTGAGGTAATTAAATGGCCGTGCAAGAGGACCGGAGAGGGAGAACACTACGGGGACTGAGAAATATTGCCCAAGTGTGGGGCCACTTTGCTAATAGGCCTGGCGTGATGATAGATCTCATGAAGTGGCCCCTTTGCATTAGCAGGAAGGCATTAATAAACAGGAATGGGTTAATAGTGCAGAAAAAGCCAGCAGTCAGTCTGTGGGGGTGTGGAATATTCCTTTCTTAAGTCAGCTGTAAGTAATTACGCCATGGTGAGCTTCTGACGATTACCATAACAGAGCAATTGGACGTGAAGAATGGATAATAGTATGAACATGGAAGTGTGTTTAGAGAGGGGCTGCGAGAACTGGGTAATGCTACGCATTCCTCTCTTCTCCCAGGACACGCGAGAGGGGTGATCTGATGATTTCAGCACTCGGAGGGTGACCCTCTGAGAAGTTTCAGGCTTACGGATTGTGACAAGGCCTTTCTCCATTGTAACCTAGACTTTTGCCCTGTGTATTTGGCAACTGTCCATTGGTTATACATGTAAATGAACATTTTGCAGCCTCGCACACATGAAAGTAAGACGAGAACCCCCCCCCAAAAAAACATGTTTTCCTGGGTCTCTTCTTTGGGTCTCTACATGAAACATGAAAGGTTCCAGAATAGCATTTAATTAGATGTACAATTTACGATGACAAAACCTTTTGGCAGTTCCTTAATCTCACATAAATAATGTTTATTTAATGTTCATATAAAGGAGTGGAAATATAATAACACACTCCATCATGATGAGAGGCGCAAACAACTCTACCATTCAAAAGTGTGGGGTCGGTAAGATTTTCTGATCCAAGGGAGCATTTATTTGATCAAAAATGCAGCAAAAACAGAGATATTATTAAATATTATTACAATTTATAACTGTTTTCTATTTTAATATATTTTAAAACAAAATGTATTTCTTTAATGACAAAGTGGAATTTTCAGCAGCCTCCAGTCACATGTCACATGATCCTTCAGAAATCACTCGAATATACTGAAACATTTCTTATTATTATAAATGTTGAAAACAGCCATGCTGCATTATATTTTTTTGGAAACCAAGATACTTTTTAGGATTCTTTGATGAATGATAAGTTCAAAAGAACCCCATTTATTTGAAACAGAAATCTTCTGTGTCACTATAATTGTCTTCACTGTCACTTTTGATTAATTTAATGCATCCTTGCTAAATAAAAGTCTTAGTTTCTTAAAAATTAAGAAAGAAGAAAAAAACTCTTACTGACCAGTCCTGACTTTGTTCTTCAACAGTAAAGGGAGGAGGAGAGGGATGACAGGATGAGGGGGATGGAGGAGTCCAGAGGTCTCAATCCTTACAGTCAGTGCAGCCAACATGTGACGGTTCCCACAGCTGGGCCGCCACTCTGCTTTGGATCAGGTCATAGAGCCTTCAGAAAGGTCAAGGAACAGAGGTCAGCCTGTCTGAAGAAACTTCCTAGGGGACTTTCAGTACACTTTCAGCATTCATCAACAAAGGGATTCTCACAGGTGAATGAGCAGAGAGGGAGAGAGAGAGAGAGAGAGAGAGAGAAGCAATATAACACTTTTTTCATATCACACAGAAAATAAGGCAGAAGTATTTTCTATTTCCTCTGACCACTCCTAATAAACAAGGATAATCAAATTCCTTAGGGACTTAGGGGCAATGTAGGGGCCATAGTAGGAAAATGCTGAGTGACTTGATGTGTGTAATGATGCTTGATTTCAATTAAAAAATTATTTCAAGCTATAAATTGTGCAGTAACGAGCAATGCCAAATTTATTACCATCAAATCAATACAAATTAATTTGTATTTTTCCAGAACAATATAGACAATATATACTTAAATAATGTTGATTTAATATGTGTTTCATATTTTTATGACACCCAAGAAAGTAATAATTCAGCCCTTTTTATCATAATTTATTGTACGAAGAAAATTTTTTTTATGTTTAATTAATCTACACTACCGATCAAAAGTTTGGGGTAGGTCTGAAAGACGTCTCTTATGCTAACAGGCTTATATTTAATAAAAAAAACAGTAAAAACAGTAATATTGTGAAATACTATTACTATGTATAATCAACAACATTAACTGTTTTCAATTTTAATATATTTAAAATGTAATTTATTCTTGTGATAGCAAAACTGAATTTTCAGCAGCCATTACTCTAGTACTTGTGTCCCATGATCCTTCAAAAAATATTCTAATGTGCTGATTTTCTGCTCAACATATTTTTTTTCTTTTTTTTAATCAATATAATTTAATATTAATTAATATTAATATTAATATTTTTGTGGAAACCATGATATATTTTTCCAGATGAGTAGAAATTTGAAAATATATATTTTTTTAAATAAAAATATATTTTGTAACATTATAAATGTCTCTACTGTCAGTATATACAGTATATATATATAATCAGATTAACCCTACCTATTAAATATAATGACATGGAAGCAGCTGCTGAATTCTTCACCCCCCAAAAAAAGATCTTCAATATTTATTTTCCTGAATTATTTGAGAAATATTAGTAAATGAAAAAATTAAATATGGTACACACAAAAAAAAACAAAGAATTAATACAAACATCCATCACTAGATTCAGTCACAGAACTTCCCCTGCATGGTTCTATTAAACATCGGGCCAGAAGCCACATCTGCAAGGGTATGCTCTGGCAAAAGTTTACCCACTGCACCGAGAAAAGCCAAACTAGCAGCCGCGCTGTCATGGCCAGCATCCAGCGCGTGTACTGAGATATATTTATGTGCACTGCATTAAGACCGAGGCCTTCTTTTGGACCGTGAGCTGCGAGCTGACGTCTCAATCTGTTGTGTGACACACAGCCGGCTGTCTGATTCCTTCTCTTGTTTCTGTCTGGCCCTGTGCGTCCGGTGCGCTGGCGGGGAGATGGACTCTACCAGACTGACAGCCCCAACCTCTCACCTCGCCAGCCTTCCCAACCGCCCAGCTATCCCAGACTGCACCACTCCAGGACCCACTGCTCAACTGCTATGCTTAAAAGATTTAGAGCAGACAAGGCCATTTTTTTCATTTGATTGCCTGTGCAAGTAAGGCGTTTGTGTGTCTGCCAATCTCAGCCATCGGCTTGAAAAGCTCAGGCCGGGTCAGGGCCCAGCAGGCTGTTTCTCCTCCACTCCTCCCTCCGGATCTTCCAGAAAGTTCTACTTGAAAATCCCTACATAAATATTTGTGCACAGTGTGACACAGGGATTTCTGTGCACAGGCACGACGACTCTAAATTAAGACGTCTGGCCCAGCCAAGGACTCTTCTTAGCTGCTCAACAGGCTTTCTCTTGAAGAAGACAATTATTTGAACTACTATAAAGTACTATCCACTCACTCACTATTGTAAGGGAATATTTAGGAATAATTCTACCATAAGCATACAGGATATGAAACATAATCAAAAATACAGAAACAGAGTATCCATGCAAATCTGTCAAAGCTTTACATATATTGAAGTATAAGTGTTGTAATGTTATATATATATATATATATATATATATATATATATATATTTCCCCCCATCATAAAATAGCATCATTCCTTAAAACTGTACAATATATATATATTTTTTCATATTTACATTTTTAAAGCAAAATAAAACAAAGTATATTATATCATATTATTAGATAATATAATAATATTAATAATAATAATCAGCTTATATGTTCGTGCAAAGTACCATATACAGATCTCATTACAGTGTTGAATGGGACTTTTAATTGCTGAGTCTTCATAAACACTTGAACCATAAAGCACAACAAAACTGCTAATCTATAAAGTACTATATAGTATTACTACTGTAAGATAGAGCCTCTGTGTCCTGGGATAAAATGATCTGTTTTTGTTCTTATTTCAGCAGAAACAATACAAGTTTAGCCATGAAAACACAGGTTAAAGAGGAGTAAAACACCATGAGAGAGGAAGGGAAAACATTTTTCACAGACAGCCCCACAACATTACTGCTCTAGAGGAGATCTGGATGGAGGAATGGGCCAAAATACCAGCAACAGTGTGTGACAACCTTGTGAAGACTTACAGAAAACGTTTGACCTCTGTCATTGCCAACAAAGGGTATATAACAAAGTATTGAGATGAAATTTTGTTATTGACCAAATACTTATTTTCCACCATAATTTGCAAATAAATTCTTTAAAAATCCTACAATGTGATTTTCTGGATTTTTTTTTTCTCATTTTGTCTCTCATAGTTGAGGTATACCTATGATGAAAATTACAGGCCTCTCTCATATTTTTAAGTGGGAGAACTTGCACAATTGGTGGCTGACTAAATACTTTTTTCCCCCACTGTATATATATTGTGACGTCTTAGTGAGTTACTCTGTGTTTAATTCCCAAGTCACAGGTGATTGGCTGTCTGCAGGTGATTGGCTGGCGTGGTGCTGCACCTGGACTAAATCAACTGGTGTTAAAAGAGACTTGCAGGAACAATGAGAGGAGAGAGGAATAGTTGTTTGTTGTTGGTGTTGGTGCATGAGTCTGCCAGAGAACTCACAGGACGTAGAGGTTATGGGAGTTTGCCGTTACACTGGAGAAGTTTCTGCCTTGATTCATCCCTCTCTAAATCGGACGTTTGGTTTTGAGTTTTGTTATTGATGTTTGTTTGGACTGATGTCATTGGTATACCTTACAGATACTTCCTGACATACTGACTTTCATTTACACTGACTACATTACATGTTTATTTTACTTTGTAAATACATTTGTGTTAATCAGTGGTTGTGTGCGGCGTCTCCCTGGCTTTTGTTGCGATCTGAGAATAGTAATCGTAACTATATATACAGTATATTCCTCGGTGTGTGAAAATTATATCTTGCATCTGAAGTCTGCCCCTCTAAGGAAGAAAAAAACTTGTATTTGTGTATGTTTTGTTGCCCTCACACACAGTGCTGCTCAGCATCTCCACACTTTCTCACATACAGAGCAGTCACTCTGAAACACACACAAATGCTAGTCACTCCAATGAAAGCTCCTATCACAAGAGTCATCAAAACTGGCATGAATTCACACAATTAGCTTCTATGCATTTCAGCAGTGCACTTTCACGGAAAGCAACAGCAGAAACAAAGAGGAGAGGGGGAAGGCATCATGAAAAAAATGCAATCACCCGCGTAAGCACATCCCTGACATACACATGCTACTGCAATTTTAAAAGCATAATTCAACCAAAAATATACTAATTTACTCACCCTCAGGCCATCCACTTTGTAGGATTTTTTTCTTCAGTAAATAATGTTCAGTTTCTTGCACAGACCAATTATTTTGCTTCATAAGAGCTAAGTATATCGTCAGGAGCCACGGGTATACATTTTGTGTTCTTTGATATGCTTTTATTTTTTTATTTTTTATTCTCAAAAACCGGTAGCCGCTTGCCTTTTAATCACCAAGAACCACGTTTCAGCTAAAAATCTTATTTTCTGTTCTACTCAATAAAAAAAGTCACCTACACCTTGGATGTCCTGAGAGTGGGTAAATTAACAGCTCATTTTCATGTTTCATGTCCCTTTAACTCATCATCAATTATAATTATGATTCATTCTAGAAAACAGTTTGAGTGCATTTACATACCATGTATTTTGATGTAAATTAAAATGTGTTTAAAAGGAAACTATTTTTGGATCTAAAATGTTTCTTTTTTTTATTTAAATTAATTTTATAATTGAGCCTATTAATCACAAAAACAAATTATTCTTCTACAGTCAGAACTGACAGTGAGAAAAAAATGCCTTTGACCCCTGACCATGCAGAATTTCTCTCTAAGTTCTTGAAGACTGAGGGGAAATAAAGTATACCAATTAAACTTGGCTTGCTTGTTAGTGGTTGGACAGAAGACTGACAGCTAAAGTTATTGTATTGTTGAGTCAGTGAATGCATCTAAAAGTCTGTGTGTTTATGAGACTGCTGGCGGATACCAGAAGCAATGACGATTACGATAGGGATGTGATGGTTAACCATCCATTAAAATACATCCCACAAAATGGCCACAAACTGCACTCTGCTTTGCTTAGCTGACAACATATAAGCCACCATCTCAGAAATGGAATACTATAAGAAACGAAAACAGAAATCAGCCATTTAGTTCTGGAAAGGTTTCTGTGGCATGCTTGACATCTAATGTAAAGTTCTTTTAGTGTTTGAATTGGTCAGTTAAACGATTCTCACTCAGTGGTTGAGGCAAATGCTACAGTAATGGTACAGTAATATGTAAACAAAACGGTCAATTTCAAACATAAAACACACAATGGAGTGGAGTTATGGCACAGTGGTAATATGCATGCTTGCAACACATAGGAGCTGAGGGTCTCCAGCAGGGACATAGGTTTGAGTCTATCCTGCATCTCTCTCTTTATACTGTCATGTCAATTAAAAACTAAAAAGCCCATATGTTTTTGGCCACTGCTGCCATTTGAACTTTTTGTTCAAAATGAACCCTCTCATTTGGTATATTACTATAAGATAAGAGGTTAAAATTAACAACAGAGATAAAACTGCAGTATTATATTCAACTATTTATTTTCATATATCATAATCATACACACAATAAAAAAACTGAAATGTTGATTTAAAGGCACAATATGTAAGATTTTTTAATTAAAATATCCATAAACCACTAGAACAGTGTTATATATTTTGCTGACTTGTGTACTTACATTATCCCAAATGTTTTGAAGAATGTTTAAATCCAGAGAAATAAGCAATTTTAACTAGTGACATGGACCGTGTCTATAGTGTCATTGTGTCGCCTGCCAATGATGTCATACACCCTCGATTTCCATTTTGTTTTGTAGAAAACATGGAAACATTAAAGACACTTTAATATGTTGTGCATTTTAATAGACCGGTGATGACCGCACAGAGTAGCATTATAACAGAACTTTCAAATGTATCTAGTATGATAAAACAGTGCTGTTTTTTTTCCTACATACGCACGACCGGAAGGAGAGGAAGCGGTCGACTGTGGCATAATAAAAGCTCAGCTGCTTTCGAGCCGTGTGTTGCGCTCGTTCAGCGGCCTCGTTTAGCTTTGACAGCTTTCAGCCTCACCCTGCTTCATTCTACTACGTTAATAAATCATTAGCTCATCCATGAACATGATTTCTGCCCGAGTCCCGTCGGATTGCGTCGGCTGTGGGGATGAAGACGACAACTCCCATGATTCCACACTCAGTCACGACGTCATCAAACTATGCCTTTGTCTCTTTGTTTATTTTGAATATGTGCCCTCCAGCGGCGAAAATGACATATTGTGCCTTTAAATGGCCGATAGTGCAGAAAATTGCTTTTATCAGCCAAATATTGTTTAGTGAATGATTATTGGTGCATCCCTAATAATAAATATGCTATATGACAATAGATATATAAATAATAAATTGTGTCATCTTTAAAATAATACTAATACTACTATACTAATAATAATTATTATAATTATTGTCTAACTGTATATAATTGACTGATAATAATAATTGCATATCAATGGCAATAAATAAATAAATAATAATTATTAATATTATTATCATCATCATTATCTCATATTGGGCACCAAGTATTCTCCAGCATTTCTGGACTTTGGCCAAATAATAATACTATTGTGATTCATTATTATTCAATAATTATTAATGATGCAATTTTTGTACTACTACTACTAATAACAATAATAATAAACTAATTATATTCTCTATTAATAATAGAGAAGTGTATGACAGTCTGGCTATTCAGAAAGAGACAGAGAAAGAAATGAGAACAAGAAAGAGAAAAAGAGTTGGAGCCAGACTGGTTGCTCTCATGATAGCTTGACCAGCAGAGGGCTGCGGTGTTAAAGAGGGGGGTTCTTTGGGCAGTAAGGGACTGGGGTCCTACAGCCTTGGGCCTCTTAGCCTCCTGCCAGGAGGCCTGCAGTCCATCACCCACAAAGCCTGGCCAGAGATGGCCGGCGGTGACGGGCAACATCCTGGAGGACAAGCAGGCAGATGGTGCCTACACTGAGGGGAGAGACACCAGACACACTGTCTCATGCAGCCTGGCATTTGGCCCAGCAATCACAGGCACTAAAGCTAATGCTAAGGGTAACTCCAAATCTAGAGAGGACGAAGCAGAGCACCAGCCAGCCAGTCCTCTTCATCCACTCAATTACCCACATACACAAACGCACGCCCAGCGCCGCTAGGCCAAGCACCCAAACGGCAACAGACATCATTACACTCCAGCACACATTCTCTCACCCAGACAGACTGCAGAAGAACAGACTGCTGAGAGTTTTAAAAGTGTAAAAAGACGAAGAGTTCGTAATTAGGCACATGTGGGAGTCGTAGTGGTCCCGTTTGTGTGTGTGTGTGTGTGTGTGTGTGTTTGTGTGTTTGTGTGTGTGAGTGAGAGAGAGTGTGTGTGCTTGATGAACTGGGCTGCTGCTCGTGTTACCTGGGGCTTGTGTGCAGATGGGTTTGTGTCCTGAACCAATCCTCATTTTATGCGCCTACAGCTAGGAGAGGAATGAGAGCTCTCATACACACACACCAGCTGCAACCAAAATACGCTCCCTCTCCCCAAACATAACTACACACACTCTTCAGCTCCCATCTGAGGACACACAAACTATCCACATTACCAGATAACACAGGAAGAGATACATTTCATCACCTTCAGGTGAAAACATCCCACATGACACAAGCTATTAGAGATTCAGTAAACCACCTCACTTATATCTTTGTATCCTGTAAGCGGAATACAAAACACATTCTCAATTTGGTGTGTGCCATTTTCGTCAGTCCACTCAGTACCTGAGCGACGTCCACGGATCATCCGCTGTCAGATTAGCTGACACAAGTCCGCACGGTTTCCAAGCCTTCA